GTCGCCCAGGCTGAAATGCAGTGGCTTGATCGCGACTCACTGCAGCCTTGACCTCCTGGACTCAGGCAATACTTCAACTCCGCCTCCAGAGTAGCTGGGGCTGCAGGCGTGTGCCCCAACACTCAGATAATTTTTTCATTTCTGCGCAGGCATGTGGTCTCACTAGGCTGCACCCAGGCTGGTCTTGAACTCGTGAGCTCAAGCAATTCTCCAGCTTCGGTCTCCCAAAGTGCTGGGGCTACTGGCATGAGCCACCGTGCCTTATTCTTTTTAATATAAATAAATTATTTATTTAATTTATTATTATGGTTTTTAGAAACAGGGTCTTGCTCTGCCACATAGGCTGGAGTGCAGTGATGCAATCATAGCTCACTGCAGTCCTGAACTCCTGGGCTCAAGGGATCCTCCCACTTCAGCCTCTGGAGTAGCTGAGACGACAGGTATACACCACCACACCTGGTAAATAAACCAGTTTTTTTTTTTTTTCTTGAGTTGGAGTCTCGCTCTGTCTCTCAGGCTGGAGTGCAGCCGTGCTCTTACGGCTACTGCAGCCTCGACCTGCTGGGCTCAGGCGATCCCTTCTGCCTCAGCCTTCCAAGTAGCTGGAACTGCAGACGCACACCACCACGCCTGGCTAATTTTTTTGGTGTGTGTGTTATTGTAGAGACGAGGTCGCACCAAGTTGCCCAGGCAGGTCTCGAACCCGCGGACTCAGGCAATCCACGCTCCTCAGCCTCCCAAAGTGCTGGGATTACAGGCCGAGCCACTGTGCCCGGCCTAATTTCTTAATGATTAACCAACAGTGGAGTCCAAATGCCCATCTTCACTTCTTATTGAGTGCCACTTTGCCCATAGCTAAGAGGATATGAGGTTTTCCCAAGTTCACTAGTATCTTTTTTTTTTTTTTGAGTTGGAGTCTCACTCTGTCACCCAGCCTGGAGTGCAGTGGCCGCTCCCAGCCACCGCAGCCTCGACCCGCTGGGCTCCGGTGATCCTTCCGCCTC